CCATTCGCTACCTCAGAATTATAAAGTTCTATCTGCACAGTACATAGTTTCTGAGAAATTTGGCGTCAAAGATATTGAGTTTCACATCATGCCAAGCTTTTTCGAATGTAATTTTTTGAATATCTTGATAACGACTCAGAATAACCATACGATTTTGATAAAGCCAATAGAGCATTTGATTTCTGATCTCAAGATCTTAGTACCTCAAAATGGCCAAAGATGTCAGATAGAACTCTGTGATTCTGAGGTAGCGCATTGGCACGATCGGGTTGGGTTGGGTTTGTTTGTTAGCCAGATTGAGAGCGCAAAGCGGCTATCGTGGCACAATCCGATCGTCCGACTCGTTGCCTAAAAAAACAAGCGAGTTTGTTCTCAGGCGTCGACCCGACCCGACCCCACCTGATCTCATCCACAATGGCACCCAAGAAATAATATATCCAGGTCTCGCTGCTGGGATGTTACACCCCTGTCAGCCCGGGTTAGTCGGTTGGGTCGGAATTCTGCTTCCGAATTAATCTAAATTGTGTCAGTGGGGCGTAAATAACACCTACAGTTACATTTTTTAAATCGTTAAAAAGGCACACCCTGATCACTGCTTGAGTAATAAAGAAAAACGCGGTGTGTTAATCGCTTTATTAAATCACTTCTTTTGCTATTCTTTCATTGCCCAATAAGGCAGGCCTACAATAAGCTATGTCGCTAAAAAATAAAGAGACTTTGCCCATATTTGCGATTATCGGTGACGAAAACAGGAAGGTTCCGGGGACTTGAAGGATGATTGTCCGCCTTGTGACTCAAAGGAGCACGGAATACAGAACCGTTATGTTTACGCATTGATATATCCAGGAAAGCAAGCACATATAATCATGTTGATTATGCAGTTGATTAACCTATCACTCGTCAGTGAAAAAATCAAAATAGAAACAAACAAATAAAGACATAGACAAACAAACAAACAAATAAACAAACAAACAAACAAACACGGTGCAACTCTCCAACATGCGAAATACAAAGGGTAGAAGCGTGTTCGCCCAACAAACTAAATTCACCTCGTTTTACATACCAGATGGCTTTACCTGTATACTATTGGGAATCTATTAATTCTTTACTTTTTGTCCTTTCTCCCCCATGTTCTCCCTCCTGTCTCAGTCAAGGTTCAACAAGTATACCGGTAGTTTGTCTTGGCTGCACGAGTAGGCCTCAATGAGAATGCTGACAGTGAAAATAAGTGTGCACATTTGATCGCTTTTAAGGACAAGCGGGCTAACCCAGATATCGGGGGTTTCCAGAAATCTTGACCTACACCAAAAGTGAGCCTTGCCCTACCTATAAGAGAAGTTTGTTTCATTGATGTGTATATTTGTTTGCTTATAGATAAATCTCTCCTTGTTTGTTTTTTTAAGAAACAGAACAAGGGGCAAAAACTTAACCTTCTATTTTCTCAAAACAGCATTTGTCGGGATAACCCCCTTGTGCAAAAAAGCGACCATTTATGGGTTGCCGTTTTTTTTCAATGGGTTGTTCGGAGAGAAAATAATATTGTTAGAATCGATACCAATTGGTCAAATGCATGATCAGATCAATCTAGACGGGTCGGGTCGTGAAGCGGCGTTGACCAGTGCATACTGTATCAAATTACCTCTGATTTTGTTCACCAAGTTTGACCAAGAAGTCCATTAGGGCTTCTCGATTTCCACTGATTCCTCTTGAAAACAAAATATTGGACGTTCTAGCCTTATGAATAAGTTTTGATCAACCTTTTTCAATCGTGATCAAGGAAATCAAACATGTTTGCTTTCCACAGCTTGAGAGTCCTTGGAATATGAAAATCTATGTTTTTGTGCCTTTAATTAACGTTTTACGGTGTATATAATACACACATAAATTTGTTTAGAAATAGACATAAAAGCTGTTGACCCCCAAAAAAAAATCATTTGGAAAAATGTGTCGGTTTCTTTGATTGTATTATTTTGACGAGCATCCGATTTCACCACAATATCTTATATGACGAAGATTTCTGCAGTGCTCACCGAGTATGACACCGATTTTAGTTATGAAAGAGGGGAGGGTTTCTTTCTTCTTTTTTTCCCCAACTCTCAAGATTATTAACAGAACGTGCGACAAACCCTTTGTTCGGGTCCCTCTTTTCTTAGTCACAGAACAATCCCTGATGAGGGTAACTGGTGCATAAAACCTTTGCCAAATGTCCAGAATTAAAACACATGGGACTGATTGTATAAGAAAAGGATGCTAGTACCTGTACAATAAATGGGAAATGATGCAGGTAGAGTAATAGCATGTACAGGTAGATTGTAAGGCACGATAATATGCTGACATACGGGATTATCTGTTTGCTGACTTCAGCACTAAGCATCATCGGGTAGGTGTGATTGCTACTATCGTCTGTACTAAGTGTGGCTTGGTTTTGGCATGGGTCAGGGATGATAGACAGAGTGAAAGAGGAACGGCGGACGATGAGTGAAGGGGGGAGACAAATTGAGGTTAGGAAGGTATGAGCGAGAGGGGAAGACACGGACTGTTTGTAAATAAAAGAAGAGGGAGAAAAGAGAGAGAGAGAGAGAGAGAGAGAGAGAGAGAGAGAGAGAGAGAGAGAGACAGACAGACAGACAGACAGACAGACAGACAGACTGACAAAGAGACAGAGAGGGAGAAATGTAGAAGAAAAGAGAGATACTTAGTAGAGAGAAACAGAAAGGTAAACTCGCACAAAAAAGTCAAGGAACAAAAATTCAAAGAAAGATAATTGAAGAAAAGTTTAACAGAATTTATTCATTTTTTTTCGCAAAAGATGCTTTCAACTCTCTAGATTAAGTGTGTACAATTTCAGATTTCAACAACAACGAGAAGTTCATGTAAAATGAGTTTCAATCACACTGGTCGGATTTCAAAAGTCTGAACAGCCATAGTTTATGAACATTGTCAATAGTGGATGTAGTCACTCCGCTTAATCAAACACTCGGCACATCATCGACACATGGACAGGACTTGCCTTCGGAGAACTTGTTGGGGTAGGTTCTGCACTCCTGGACAAGGTAGCCTACGAGTTGTTGAAGGTTTTGTGCAGGAGGGTGCTTGTCCCTTATTTACTGGTCAATGTGATCCCAAATGTTCTCTATTGTGTTCAAATCCGGACTACAAGCTGGTTAGTCCATGCAGGTGACACCTCGCTGCTGCAGGAAATCCCCCACGATGCGTGCGCGATGTGGCGGGGCGTTGTCGTCCTGCAGTACAGCCTGAGTCCAATCTGCTGAAGGAGAGGAACAGAAAGGGGACGCAGGATTTTATTCCTGTACATTGCCGCGGTCAAATTGCCCTGTATATGGTACAGGGGGTCCTGTGGTGAGCTAAGAAGCCTCCCTACACCAGACCGGACCCTCCACCGTAGGGCGCCACCTGCTGGATGCGCTCAGGGTGGAACAGCGCTTCTCGGCGCCTCCAGACGTGGGCTCGCCTGTCTGGGTACAGCAGGTTTAATCTGAATCCATCCGAGAAGACTACCTGGTCCCACTGACAGTGTGTCCACTGTGAATGGCGAGCAGGCCACGCCTGGCCAGCTGCTTTGTGGGATAGCGTGTGCCTTCAGCGCCGGACAGAGACACGAGAAGCTAACCTGGATCTACGGATATGGTTCCTTTCCGTCTCCTCGCTCTCGTGGCTGTCACCCGCAGTTGGTCCCTGATGCCGTTTGCAGTGGTGGCTCGTGACGTCACGGCCTGTTTGACGATGAACCGGTCGATGCTGTTGTTGGTCAAACGGGGCGGTCCTGGTCGAGGCCTGTCCCGGACCCTTCCGGTCGCTCACCCTCGTTCTTGCGCCTCTATATGGTTTATGGAGACACCCCAAGTCGATGTGCAACAACTGGGAACGTGGAGCCATCTTGGAGCCAGGTAAGGGCTCGTTCTCTGTTGACGTCAGTCAGGGAGCGTTGTTGGACCATCGTGTTGTAATGAAACATGGCTGAAAAACGCTGACTTATAAAGGGTTGTTAGTGAGCAATATTCACAGCTAAGACATCTGTTTAGCACGTGCCAAGCTTAGTTTTAGCTAACAGTCCCTATGCCAATGTTGCTGAGTCAGATAAATTTAGCCCATTTTTCATGCTTTTCGGATGTGTTTCAGAATGCCCTGGGCCGTCGCTATGAAGCCTGTGCAGGCCAATTTGCTGTATAGGCAAACTGTGTCTATTCGTCAGTGCGTGTGCCAAGTTTGGTTGACTGATCTTAACGGGTTTGTGAGATATTGGAGTTTGAATTTGACAGGTGAAAACACAAGATGTTCCTTGACTTTTTAGGGCGAGTTTAAAAAACAGACAGACAAAAGGACAGACAGACAAACAGACAGACGTACTGATAGAAGTTTGGTAAATATGAAATTCAATATTGATAATTACCAATTGTCTTTTTTCTGTATTTTCAGAATCGATGCTGCTGCAATCATCAGAAGCAGGGCCTGTAGCAGTGTTCAAGCTGTATGGAAGTATTTGGGTACCCAAGACTGAGCTGTTTTTTTGCCGAACAAAGCGTATACAGTACGAATACATCTGCACTTAAAGACTGCTGTTCATTGAAATGAATAAATGAAAAACCAGCCCCGAGAATGCACATACAGTAGCGGCAACAACAACGACAACAGTGATACCAATATCTTCAAGCACAATAACAAAGAAATCAGCACACACACACAAACAAACTCAAACAAACCAAAAACTGAAACACATGCATCGGTCACAGCATAAGGAAGCGAGACGGGAGGGATAGCGAAGAAAAAACAACTAAAAGTGTAGCATTTACGGCAGCATACACTTCAAAAGGGACACCAGAAGTAGCAACAGTAGTTGGTACAACGGCCTCAGCAGCATTAACAGCAGCAGTAGCGTCAGCAGCGTTAGCAGCAGCAGCAGTATAGAAGTTTGCTAGCAACTGAAAACTCAGGCAGGGAGAAGAAGAAGAAGAAGAAGAAGAAGAAGAAGAAGAAGAAGAAGAAGAAGAAGAAGAAGAAGAAGAAGAAGAAGAAGAAGAAGAAGAGAAGAACCAGTTGCGCCACCATCAACGGGGAAACTATCAGCTCTTTAATAGCTGCTCTACTCCTCCCCCTCAACTACCATCACCTCCATTACCGACACTAACTACAGCAACAGCAACTACAGCAGCAACAACATCATCATGAAGAGGACGGTGTTTATTGTGATTGTCCTGGTCACCTTCGGCTACCTCATCGTGGGCGCGGTCATTTTCAAGTTCTTGGAGGGAACAAATGAGAGTGCCAAAAAGAGGAGCTTTGCTGCTGATCACGAGAAGTTTTTACGTAAGTATAAATAAATGAATAGATAGATAGATACATAGATAAGTTAATAAATAGATCAAGAAAGAAAGATAGAAAGGAAGAAAGAAAGAAAAAAGAAGGACTGAAAGAAAGAAAGAAAGAAAGGAATAGGCCTAACATTTTATTGATCCACGTTGGGGAAATTTGGGTTACAATGGCAAACATACATACGTAAATACATAATTAGTAATTTATACATACCTAAATACATACATAAATACATGCATAAGTACACAATATTACACCAATGCAGAACAATTTCACGAACATGCCATTGCTGCATTGCTTGTCGTCACTGAGCAGCGCCTGCACAGTACATAGGGATCATGCAACTAGAAAAAAGCAATTTCCCGAGACATGGTTCACTTTAAAATATTCTTTTCCCGACTTGTTTTCAGAATCTATAATGAATTTTGGAAATTTTGAAATGAAATTTGTTTCCTTTAAATAATCAATACTATAAAGTGGACAGGAGGAACAGTTTGAGAATTATGGTTTACGGTTTTCGGATTTAAGATTACTGTTTAATGTTAGGCATTAGCATTTCGCTTTTAGATTAGAGGTTTGGAGTTAGGGTTAGAGCTTAGCTGTTAACTGTTCGTGTGTTGGTGTCATAGGTGAGAGTGTAGGGAACGGGGTGGCGGTGGGGTCTTTGTATAGATCGTAGTTTGTGGGTGAAGACTTCCGAATAAATAATGAGACGTAAAAAGGAGGGGGGGGGAGGGGTAGAGTGTTACTTACATACGACGAAATGTATATTGCTATTGGCGATGCTCGACATACAAGAAATTAAACTATAAAGTTAAATTGAATACATGAAATAATAGATTCCACTTTATTGATCCTCAACTTTGGATTACAATCGCAAACCTATATACGCACATACATAATTAAGCACACACACACACACACACACACACACGCACACACACACACACATACACACACATAAACACACACACACACACCCACACGCGCACACACACACACATACATACACACATACACACACACGTGCACCCTCACATACACACAAAGAATACCAAAAACACAACATCACCCCAATACAGAACAATTTTACAATCATTTCATTGCTGGTCGCCTCTGTGTAGCACACAGATTTGAAATTATTGACACTGAATGTCATAGCAAATTGTTTGTAATGAGTTAACTTCCATTTGTCATTGTGTTATCCTCGACATTATTGAACGTTTTTAAAATCGGAGGTTCCCCTGCTTCTTAAATAACCGAATAGAGTTGATAGAGGCTTTAAACTTATACCATTAATTCCCCGTTCGACTTCTTTTTTTACTTCATCATCAACAGAGGAACACCAGTGTATCAACCACGAGGAACTGCACGCGTACGTCTTGCGTGTGCTGGAGACTCACACAGAGGGTGTGCAAGTGACCAACATCGTGAGCAGGAATTATTCTGGGAACGTGAGCAGCATTGACGACGAGATTTTCGACACGGGGACCAACTGGGACATCTCCTCTTCCATTCTTTTCTGCATCACCGTCATCAGTACTATAGGTATATTATTATAATATTGTATGCAAGAATTAATTGTGCGGGTCTGGGAACCCTCTTTCTCTCTCACTCTCTATCTGTCTGTC